ATTTAAGGTTTTTTCAATTTAAGGTTTAATAAGATAATTGGAAGCACAGCATTCTTGCAAGGTGTTCCATAGAAAGACTTCTTGGTTTGTTAAGGTGATACTAAAAGTAAGCCCTTACTGGAAGTCACCATTCTTGGTTGCTGCATGTACTGGTGCTTTTTTTTCTTTTCTTCCCTTTCCTCCAAAATAGGTGCATCATAGATTAAGAAAAAAAACTTAAGTTGCCTGGTACGGATATCCATAGAATATCTCTTTCTTTCAATGGTTTATATGCTTTGCTATGATGCCTGCAGAGTCATCTGGTCCATCTATCTATCCATGCCTCTTTTCAGCTTGTGTACTTACTCTGCACAAAGGCTTGTTGTTGTTCTTAGGGTTTTGTCAGTAAGTTCAGCTGCTTTTGCTATGCTAGAAAATTCTTAGTGTTACATTGGTTTGATGTGGCTTTGGTCTCTCTTTTTGGAGGAGTAGAAATAAAAAGATACAAAAATGGCAACAAAGTTGATGAAAAATATGGAGTGGCTTCTGTATGAGTTACCAAATTGTAGTAGATTCAAGAAGAACATACAGATGGGTTTGTTTATTTTTGTCAACTGTATAATTAAACTTTTGAGTTTGTAAATTTTTTGCCACATACAACTTTGTGACTCAAGATCAGAAGGCAGTCGGAGAAATTTTATTATTATTATCATGGACGGCTTTTTCTTCCATAGGAAAAATATACTACATCATAGCTACTGAAGTTGAGCACTACCTTTTTGTGGGAACAGAACGGGAACAGGAACAGCAAAGTATCGCCATCATGGTGCTTAACTATTGGCCGTTGTCAGAGGCGAGATGCTGATGTAGGTCGATCTGTGGTCTAGTCCAGGATAGCTATTTGTATGTTGTTCCTCCTTGCTAATCAGGCTGTCTCGTAAACTGGCTGGCAGTGATATGCTTCTCAGCCCTATGACGTCAACTGTTGGTCCCGTCCACTTCAAGAAACCAAGCAATATCCCACAAACACTTCTTTTAATCAGCTTAGCAGTTGCATTATTTCATATGCTTCTGGCAAAAGTATTTGACTTTTCTGTCCCTTCCTCCCCTATCCCCTGAAGACACTGAGATTGAGAGATAAAAGGAAATAAATAGTTAGCACTGTATATCAATCAATGGCGACGGGGGGGTATATGTTATTTTGTGACAGGTAAGCAGCAGCAAGGACACCCTCTGCTTGTTAAAAACTCAGTGCTCTGCCTGTGTCTTCTAGGATCTTTGAGGCAGGTATGGCCCTGAAAAGGTGTTGCTTGCAAACAACCATTTTTCAGAGCTAGAAAATTAAGGAGGAAAGGAAGGTGTCCGTCTTTGAGTATGGAAAATGCAAACTGCAGGTCCCCCACCCCTGTACAGTGACAAGATCACACCCTGGCTGGGGATTAAGGCCAATGTCCGTGGTGATCCCTCAGGGTAAGGAGTTGCTGTGTTTTTTTTCTCAGGAGGATTGTGGTTAGGACTCCAGCAAGGCTTATGAGGTTATAAAAGGTGTGTAGTAGTAATTATTAATCCACGGCCTGGGAAGACAAATGGACATTTAAAGATGTCTGAGGACTGGGATAAAAACTGAAGCAACTGCTTACACAGCCACCGTAGGGAAATAGCTCACATTCTTCTTGTCACACATGGGTGTGTTGTCTGGCAAGCTGGCCAAAGCAGGTCCGTGCCTCTCTTCTGGCTCAGAGCACTGGCTACAGTTACCTGTTTCATCACAGTTTGTTCTCCTGGGTTTTGCAAAGCAACTGCTGACATTCTCACCACTCTGTGTGGGGAGAGGTTATTTCAGTTGCTTGTACATAAGCAGCTTTCTGGTTCTGTGTAGTCTGTTTATTTTAGTTAAGACATGCTGCTGCAGTGATGGTTAGCATTGTAACGTGGGTGCTCCGAATGTGGATTGGAGTTTTAGGGCTGCTTTCAAAAGCTTCCTTTCACCTCATGAGCCGATTCCTGACATTTGCGCCCAAGCACCCTGTTCCATCATCTTCTTCCACATATAACTTCTGCATAGGTGGTTATTGAACCTATGCTGTGATGGTCCCTTGTATTGAAAGCTTCTCTCATAAGATATGTCTCCTGTGCTGTGACAGTTAAACATATGGGAAGGTATTGCAGTTTACTCGCATTCTATTTATGTATCTTAGGCTATATTGTGTGTGTATTACATATATATACACACATACTACACACACACACACTATATATAACAAACACAGTACACTAGGCTTTATATACGCATGTATATACATATATACTATACACATACACTATTATGTATAGTACTGTACTACTGCGTATGTAGTATATACTACATCTAGTACTATATGTGTATAGTATATATGAGCATATATAAAACCTAATATACTGTATTTGTACTGTATTTCCTATGATCAGCTACTTAACTGTTCTCCCAGTCCGTATTTTGTCTTGTGGACAAATGTTTGTGGGTGGAGTTATGTAAATGAGAATTGTTTAATAAAAGCAGGTTGAGTATTCATCTTTGTGCTCTGAAGGACCGAGCAGCACCTTCTGGTTCTAATCCTAAAAGTTTCTTGGCTGCAACAACAAACACTGGTCTAGCATGTATCCAGCTAACCTTTATCTTCAGGCTCTGTTGCATCAAAAGGTCTTTCAGCAAAGGTGAGCAAAGCATCCTGTGAGGGTTAACATCTTAAAAACAGAGATAAACCACAGGTTTTCTCTGTTGTGTTTTCTTCCTGCATCTTTTTGGCTTTTCTGGGTTTTTTTTTGTGGAGTTGAAGCTGTACCCTGCAATCATGTGATTGACTGTCAGTATCAAACTTCCACTGCTAAATACAGGGAGGTATGTGAAATCCTTGACTAGTTTTGGGGGATACATCCATCTCCGCTAGTTACAGAAACACCTTCTGGCAGGGGAGCTTTTAGAAGACTGCTTGCATTGAAGGTTTTCCTGGGCAGCATGAGCGAAGTGTGGAGGGAGAGGGTAGCTCTGCCCCACAGGAGCTGACACTTCGTGCTTTGCCAGAGCCTGCTCTGCCAGACTCCGTGCCTGACTCCACCAATGCTGGAAACTGCAGCAAGCTGCAGACAGCCTGTGAGTGTGAGATTGTGTGTTATCACCTGCAGGTGCGTTATCTGCCCCTTTGCATGGGGGCGGGCACTGCGACATGGCAGTATTGAGAATGAGACAATTTGTTAAAGCTTGCAACTTTCAGCATACTCTTCTAGTGAACTTACCTATGGCTACCTCAGTTAATTATGATAAGAAATCACTATTACCAAAACAATGTTTAATTAAAAAAAAAATTTATTTCACACTCCTATACAAATATCCACAGGTAATTTCATATCATGGAATGATGTAGCATTGCTAGCTGGTATAAAAAAAGTTTGAGATTAAAGTATACCAGTGACATGACTTATTTTTCAAGAACTTTCAGTTTAACACTGCTAAGACATTCATGTTCTTAGGCGAGGGCCACAATCTGCTTTTAAAGCCAAGGCTATTTGTCAAGCTTCTCAGCCCCTGATTAGCCTGGCTTCTGATGCTGCTGAGCCTTTCAGAAAATAAGCTAGAATTTTAAAAGCTCAAAAACTGGGTAACAGCTAAATACATGTGTAAGCGTTCATACAATCAGGGTCACAACATACTGAGATTATCTAGTGGGAGGAAGAAGAGTCTATTAAATTAATGCACTCTTCCATAATGGTAACTTTTTAGGTGACCACACCTTCCAAGAAGGTATGTTCCAAGTTAGTAGTAAAAATAGGACACTTGACAACTGCCCTCCTAGCAGGTTTTTACCCTATGAGGGGAAAAAAGCACCAAGAGGTTTTTGCATAGTTCAAATTACTAGCAATTAACATGCATACTTTTTGAGCAGAATTTTGTTTTATACGGAATAAACAATTGTGAATTAAATATTTATTCTTAAATAGTACCAACACTTTAGAACATGGGTAAAAAAGTAAACTCTTCGTATCAGTTATGTTACAATAACTAGATGACTGATAAACACAACAGTGTGATTCTACTTTTATCAACATTCAGGTATTCAAGATGATTCAGTAGTCTCAATGTGGATCAGCTCAGATCCCCATAGTTATAAGTTAGGCATTTATAGCCTCCTTCCAAGTGCTATATAACAGTTGCAGTAGTCAATGCCTTTTGCCAAATAGGAAGTCCTTATGAAGCTGGAAAGCTTTTTCCAGAGAACCTCTCACTTTCTTTTAGTAAGTATAAAACCGTATCTAAGAACCCTACTTCTGCTTGGTATCCAAATCGTTAAATAGTCTGAAGTAATATACAAATCGTGTTACAAGACCTGATAATTCCTATTACATGAAGTTACAAGTATCAGGCAAAACAAGCCCCCATACACATCACTGGAATAAATATTTACATTTTTAGAAAGCATTGGCACCTTCAGTGACTTATTAAAATGCAGTGAAAGCCTCAGGTCTCATAATCTGAAGTTCAAAAACACAGTGGATTTGAAAGTTCAGTTATGTCTTTGGCCTAACAGTTAGTCAAAGACAATGATTTATAACAAAAATAAATACAAAAATGACTGAAAAATATATATACAAAAAGTACATCTAATATTCAAGCTTCTCTTTAAAAAAAAAACCTGTGTATATTTGATGTGAGCAAGAATCACACAGTCTGATCTTTTAAAAAATCGCAATGTGACCTATTGCACATGTAATTTAAGATGATGCTTTTTGTTACGCCCTAACTACTGCAGCAGGCAAAGTTTTATGACTAAAGTAGATTTGCAGGTCACTGCAAAGGCCACTGTGTGTTTATAATAGACTATGCATTGAGGGAAGGATGGAGAACCTGTCTTGACCATGCGTTCCTTACATACCTAGGAAGGTTAGGATCACAGGAAAAGGTCTGCTGTAGTGGTTTTGCATATTTTGCGGAAAAGACCCCAAATCAACACAGTATCTTCTAAAGCGTGAGTTAGATTTGAAGGGTGAAAGAGGCAGTCTGGAAATTAAATAATGCAAATAAAGTCTGTTGAAGCAATTTTAACTGTGCAAACAAAAGCTTCAATATAAGTAGTAATATCTACAATCAAATGGTGAATGTTCATAGGTCTAACTCCATCAGTATTCCATTAATGAAAACCTTAACCTCTATCTGAACTTTGTGGATGAAAATAATTTTTCCCTAAGAATAACTTTCATTTTCATTCCATTTTGTGAACCACTGTTTTGTCTCAAGATCTTTGCATTTCCCATCTTCGATCTGCCGCTCTTCTTTTCGAATTCTTACAGCATGATATCGGGGGACGCTGTCTTCGTACCTAGAACGCTGGAAGAACCCGCACTGGGGCAGAGAAGGAAAAGAACGGTTTAGGTTCCAAAGTACTACAATTATAGAGGCAGTAAGTCTTCCTTCGCACAGATACACAGGTGAGAAAACTGAAAACAAAAATACATGGGCCAAAAATGTAGCGTATGTAGCTGTAAAAACATGAGCCAGCAGGTCTACATTAGTTGTTCCAGCAGCAGTTGAAGACAAATGGCACAGTCTGACAATCCGGTAATCTAACACCTTAAAAATATTCCCTCCACTAACTTTCTGAATTTGTTTTACAAGTCTTTTAAGTCTTCTTATAAAGCTATTCATTCATATAATGAGAGAATGTAATGCTACACAAAGAAGTAGTTACAGTTCAGGAAAGCTTGCTTCTCCTGAATCAAAGGTAGGTACGTACTTCAGTATCTTCCTGTATGGTGACATGATTACCTTTAAAAACCTACAGAAAGATTTCCAGGGCCTTCAAGAAAAGTTACACTAGGGCCTTGTTTTTCAAAACACCATCTCAACTATAGTCACCTGAACTAACTAGACATATGCAGTATCAGAACATGAGTCTTGCTTAGTTTGCCATAGGATAAAAAACAGACGTAGCTTGAAAGTTTTGTAATGTGCCACGACACAAGTCTCCCTAGATGAAATCTAGTATAGCTTATTAATGCCCTGCAATTTTTTATTCAAAGCCACTGTAAAAACTGATTTTAGATATCGAGGAATGGACTGAAATTAATTTTCAAAACAAAATGGAGTTAAGGCCACAGTGTTACAGAGATAATGATTGGTAGACACTCAACTTTATATGCTTATGGGTCACTGATGTCAAGATTAAGATTAAGAGACATTGTGCCATCCAGCTGTCATTAGGTACTGCTAGAAAAAAAAAGAAGGTTAAAGTGGCAAGGTTTTGTTCATAGTATTTGAGGTGGTGGGGTTTTTGTTTGGTTGTGGTTTTTTTTTTAATAATACTAGAACTTACATGGAACTGAATTTAAAAAAAAATTACATTGAGGCATAGACCAAATCTTTAGCCATCTCATTGAACACTGTTTTGACATATTTTAAGTTAAGAATTCCTCCCCACCCCTTCATCCCAAGCATCACTGATTAATATAACGTACATGCATGTAATCTTAAGTTGAATAAAGGTTGCTAGAAACATAAATCATCATGCATCTAGTAGCTTCAGCAGAGGAAAGCGTGTTCCTAGGAAAGTATACCTTAGAACTGAAGGAAAACAGGTGTTTCCACAGCAATTAAATTCTCATTATGAAAACTCCTTTCCTTGTAAGCAACATGTATCTTTTAGCATGCACTAAAGGTTAGTAAAAAGCAAGTTTATTGTCCACATAGGCTTAGCTTTACATCTTAACTCTGCAGTGTTGATTACCATCTCTCAAGCTTAAAAACTTACTTGTACTGTTAAAACAAGTTAAAAGAAAAAAGACTAAAAACCATTGCAATAGATCAACAGGTTTTCTAAAGAAATCAACAAGAAGCTTTTCAGACCAAGGTAAACACCTGTGTTCACGTGCACCAAAAGCTGAAAATCTATCGACGGAATGAGCAAGCAAGTACAGTAGTTTGAAATCCAAAAGTTAATAGAACATATGCAGTAAAAGCTTCATAATTAGCCACCGCAACCATAGCATGTGCCACAGCTAAAAATTAAAAAATATCAATTACCAATTACAGAAGTAGATCAATACTATGCATCAGAAGTAAGCCTCTCTTTATCAGATGGCTGAGCATGGATCTCAGCCTTGTGATATGTGGCATCGTAATGATCTTTCTTATTTCTCTTGAAGAAACCACACTACAAGGAAGCAAGGTATTTAGTCAATTTTTGTGGACTGGAAGCAGTCAAACCTATTAAAACTGACTTAAATTAACTCTGTGACAATCTTCCCATTATCCCTTCACAGGCAAACAAAACAAAACAAAACAAAAAAAACCCCCACAAAACAACAAAAACTACAAGAACCCAGCTGTTTCTAATCTGATAACTTCTTGGACTAACTCGATCTGTAAAATAATAGAATAACCTGAGGTAAAGAATATTAATTTTAGAGGCATTTTGATAAATTTGTAATGCATCTGTTGGGTTTGTTTTTTTCAAGAAAAGCTACTATAAAGTATGTCCATAGCAACTAAAGCTGGCTGTGAAGAGTGGAAAGAAATCTATACAGAAACCTGTTTGTGGACGAGTGCACAGGATAGACCAAAACATAGGGTAGAACAAAAATGCTTTGACCTGTACAACTCAAGTATTTGTCTTAAATCAATCACATAACTGGCTTTGAAGTACCATGTTTGTCCTTTGTAAGATGGCACAGTGTTCGTCAGCAAAAGAAGCATTTTACACTGTGCATGCACGTGTGAAAATGTGTGTATTTTCACGTGCAGTAAAACACTAGTAGTTATAACCTAACAGCCCACCTGAAGTAGTAATTCATCAGGAAGATTTGCAGCAGGGACTGGGCATTTATTAGAAAATAGGGAAGTCAGAACTATCCTGTGAGAAGTAACCTGCAGCAAATAGTAGCTCCTTAGCAAAGCTAATTGCTGCAGTTTCTCCAGAAAAAAAGTAAGTGACAGACAGGACATTCTTCTTCACCTCTTCTTTCTTACAACCTTCTGCTATCCCAGAACAGTAAATACTAACTGCCTATGCCTGTAAAAACTAAGAATAAAAGGACTGCCCTGTTATACCTGGAACCACAATTAGTTGTAAAAATGCCACCAAAGGTAGTTAGAAAAATAGGTACTTGATTTTTTTCTTTTGCAAATTGTTAGCCTTTTGTTACACACACTTATTTACTCCTTTAGGGTTTCTAAGATAAAAGCCAATATTACAGAAATTCACCAACACACTTGGCTATGGATTATTTCTGTACCTTTTGGTTATTTTCCTCTACTATCAGTTTAATAGCATTCCTAACGTTATGAGAACAAAGACCTGCTAAAACATTTGTAGATAGTTCACATGAAGTTTTATACCTAACTGAAGAAGCCCCAATTAGCTGTGTCCATCCATATCAAAGTAACTATGGTCTCTGAACATTTGTCTCAAGTTTTGCCCAGAGCTCAAAATACTTCCTTTTGAGGATGTGGAAACAGAAAAATTTCATAACAAGTCCTCCCGTGTAACCATTTTCATTCCAAATGTTGCAAAACTGAGAAACTGATAAAGGTAATGTATGGTTTGGGCAGTTTTGCTCTATTTTGAGTCCCAAATACAAACCAAAATACTTAATCTTTTGCTGTCTTGTCAGCTGTAGACCAGGAAATGTAAAAAAAAACCCACATGAATAAAAACTCACCTTCCATAGTAAGAATACCAACAGTGCAAGCATCAGTATTCCAGCAAAAATAGCCACCGAGATGATCCACCAAGGTACTCCTGTATAAAGTGCTACTGGTTTTGCAGGAAAGACAGTCACACGCACCTAAAGGACAGAAAATACGTGAAGATGGAAAGAGCATTTCAAAAGCATTCATGTTTAATATAAAGCCACAATTTATACAGTCTTATCCCTTTTCTAACAAGATGTCTTCTCTCTCTCTCTCTCTCTCTCATCTACCACCCCAGTTTGAAGAAAAAGTGCCTGCTGGTATCATTTCAATATGGTAGTGAATTTTTCCAAACTGATTAAAAGGTAAAAACGATCAATAATTCAGTTATCAATAAACTCAGTTAAAAATCTAAACTTTTAGCTACTTTTGTTTTAAAATGTGGTGGGGTTTGGGTTTTTTTTTTTCCCCAGTCTTTGAGGTAAGCTGGAAACATCACAACCATAACATATGGTTAGCATTAAATGTTGAACCTACCTGAGCAACTTCGTTTGTGAGTTTAACATTCTTAGCTGCAGCAGGAACACTGATTGAAGCCCTAACAAGAATGTCCAGGTAGTTCATTTTGGAGTATTCCTGTTCCAAAATAAAATATGGACAGTAGACACAGAACAGGAAAGAACTCCGACCTTCCAAAAATGGCAGGTAAGAGGACTTACTTCTAAGAAAGTACTGTTCCACAGCCTGGAACGCAGCACAATAGATGCCTTGCTGTCTAAACCCTTCAGGGGACATTTTATGTCCACACAGCGTGCATTCACATTGCAGTCCTGCAATTACAAATTTCTACATGTAAATAAAAACACATCCTCACAAATTGTTTAACCCTCTCCCGCCCACCCCAATTAAAAATTGGATTATTTGCATCATATTAATGGGAAAGAACCAACATCTGTTTGTACTGACAGCAACAGGAAAATAAAATGAAGATGTTATTACCTGTTTATTTTAACATAGATAACTATGCAGAAATTCTTTCCTATTTCTCTCTCATCAGTAGATAATCTAAATGGTCAAATTTTAAAAGCATCGATACTTGGATTTAAGATAAAAACAAAGCAATGAGATACCTTCTTTCACTCTGCCAAACTCAGAAAAGCCCACTTACGAGTGCAGGGGGAGGTATCTGACAAGACTATAGTTGGTGCAATGTGCTTACCAAGGTCTTGTATTTTCTTTCTGAGAATAAAGAAAACGTCTTGCTGTCTGTAATCTGCTTCTCTGCAACCTCACGTTTCCTTCTTGAGCTATGGGATTCCTTAAAAAAAAAGGTAAAAAGAGTTTTAGTAGCTTATCCTAAGTATCTCTTAATTCTGACCCCATACAAAGCAGTGAAACGAGTTCAGTGAGCGTTTTCTTGTTCTAAGATCAGCACATGACTGACATCATTATATATCCCTACTTATCTATATTTATTGCTAATAGTAGAGTCAGGACAATTACTAGAATTTGAGATGACTATTTTCTTTAATAGGTCAAGGGGGTTTTAGATTTATAAAGCCTTCAATGCTATTTCTATTTTTGTTCTATGTCAAAGGTACTAATGTTACTACACGAAAAGAGTAAGATTGTGCTAAGGTCAGTAGGTGCATTTTTTTTAACTGTGTACTAATTACACTCACTGAAAGTTTTATTAACTAATGTAGTGATCTGACAAGAATGGGTTTATGTGCGTGCAGTTTTAATGGTGAAAATTAAAGCTCCTCTCAAACGATCTTAAGATTCTATGAAAAAAAATTACGAAGATGAAGACTCAGGGTTTAGGAAAAAAATCTTGCTAGATAGGCACAACAAAGGGCTATGAAACTCTTGCTTGAGAAATTCTTTTTATCATATTTGTCATAAATAAGTAAATTTAAGTGCAAGCCCTTTCTCGTAAAAAATTACATGGAATTCCCCAGGCTGGGGAGATGTTTACTGTTGTTTATTGTTTTCTGTGCAAGAACTCAATCAGATACCAATAATGCTGATGAAATGTGTTAAAGCAAACCGCAGTTTCATCCTGTAAGAGCATATGACAACAGTGCCCATTGCAAAAACAGTCACCAGGACATAGCCTCTATCCTTTAGCATGTTATCCTCATCAGCTGTTACAAAGTCTCCTAATAAGCTTAACCCTTGATACACCGTTCATGTATTGTGCTTGTGAGCTGCTTAAGACAAAAAAAAAAAAATTCCTTCTGGAGGCAAGGTCTTACGCCCTACTATCACATGCTGCAGTGCTTTCACGTTGTACTACTTCATGAACAGAAGACATTAACATACCGCAACATGCAAACTGTTGATTTCATTCTCAGGTTGACAAGAGACTTTTTCCAAGCCTTTGGAATCTATTTTCATCAAATAAAGCAGCCATTTGCCATTACTAATTTCTTTCGGCCATTGGATGTCCAGGGAAGCGGTACCAAATGTTTTCAGTGGTCTGCCCAAGTTAGTTACCTGTTAAAACAAACATTCTTTAAACTGTGGAATACTTTTTAAAGGGATTTTTCTTCTCGATTGAAAGTACGACTGACTTGGGCAAGTCTTAAGCATGCAGCTAACAGTAAATTTAAAAGCAGGTGAAAGACTCGAAACAGTATAAAGACAAAGCATATACTGAAACTAGCACACTTGGATAGCAAGTAAATACAGAGTTTAAACATACAAGGATTAAAATTGCTTAACAAGAACTTTAAGCTGTTGATTTTTAGAAATCTACCTTCATGTGAAACAACAACCACTCCAGTTTAGAGTTAACAAATCATTCAGTTACATAACTGAAGCAAATGGCAAGTTTATGAGGAACTCTGACACAGAAAGATAACCAGCTCTTGCTTTTGTAAGTCTCAAAGTTGTTTCCCAACCTATTTTTTGCTTTCTTAGCATTACTGTTCATGATAGCAAGTTCTAAAACAGATACTCTAACTGCTTCTACTTTAATGCATGCAGGTACAGAAGGCATTAAAGGATTGACAGAGATGGACTTTAACCCTGACAAACTACTATGTACAAAGACAGTGGGGCTTGCATTAATGATGTAGAAAAAGCAACGCTCTTGCTGATAAACCGAGATTTTACAAACCAAAATCGTCTCTCTTAGCCTTCTCCTTGATTTATTAATTAGGCAGAAGACCAAAAGAGTGACCCACACATTCAAAGTGGCTCCCGCAGCGTTGTCTTGCGCCTGCTCGATCCTGCATGCAGTAAGTACACGTACTTGCTGTCTGCGTGCACCAGCTAACACCTGGGCATGCCACGGTCAGGGTTCTGGGTTTAAGTGTTCCCTGCCTGCACGGGGTTTTATGCTGTACAACTGGATGTGCATGAACTGCTCTGAAAAACACATGTACAGCCAGCCTCAGGCCACTTCCTCAAAATATGATCGTAAAACATCAAGGCCTAAAGAAGCTCTAGTCTGCAGTCAGACTGCATGTTCTGATCAGGAAGTTGGGATTTTGGGACAAGAAAAGCCGATTTTAAGTCCAGCAACTTTTCCAAGTATTCATATGCATAAAGAGAGAAGCCGTTCATTTGATTAAAAGCAGCTGTTGGCATTGATCTAAATTACTCACTCTGAATTCATACTCTATGAGGTTTCCAATATGATCTTCAGATTTCATAGCACTCTCACCAACGATGCTACCTCCAAAATATACCTGAGAAGGCTTAGCAACTCTGTTCAGGTGGGGGTAGGGAAGGAGAATAATCAGATTTTAATAAAGTCTGCAGCAAAACTGTTGTCCCCAGCCCCCCCCATTTGTTAGGCTATCAACACTTACCCCGTGAGTGATAAAAGCAATTCAAGAACCACTTTAGCACTAGCTGTAATTGGAGTCGAATTAACTTGAGTGCTTGTTCTACAATGAAAAGGAAACAATGCTTTTTTACAAATGTAGCAGTTTTCATTTTACTATTAAATTGCTTTTGTGAATCGAACAAATTAATTCAAAATGTTTACAACTGTATATAAAAACATAGCGCGCTCACAAAGAAAACTTACGTTTCCAACTTGAGATTAATGTCCAAGTCTGTTGTATCAACATTAACTTTAGTGGTACTCAAGATCAGATAAAAGGTTACCTAGACAAGAAAGAACATCCATGAAACACGTAAACATTTTATAAAATATATGAATAACATGCAGTATTACAGAAACACACCATCAAGTTCTAGAGTTAAAAAGACAGATCCAAATCAAATTTACAGTTACGACACACAGAAACTTTGGACGACTACAGTCAGGAATCAGATTTTATAAATTGAGTAAAATAGGCGCAACTTACGTTGGAATTTCTTTTGAAAGGATTTCCAAGTTCACACTCTGCTTGAGAACCATTTTGGTTAGCACCACACGTTAGCTGTTTTTCCTGATTAAACAGAATACATTTAAAAGTAAAAATATGCTGAAACTATTTAAAAGTTGGAGTATCTTTTCTCTTAAAAATACTTACAGGATAACCCCTCATCTCCCTGAATGCAGAATACGTCAGACTGTCTGGAAAAGTTGCAATTAGTTTGGCTTCATATGCATCTTCACCATCTTTTTGTGGATTTTTTGCATCAGATGGATTGTTTGTCACTGTTACTTCCAGGGCAATATCTTTCTGATCTTTCAGAACAAGCACTGGCATGCCATTTTCACTACAGAAACAGAGTATACAGGGTTGTGTGCATTAGGAAAACAAATGTGTATGAAAGTTTGCTTCTTACTATGGTTTACCCAAATATAATTCCCTCTGTTAAGGAAGAATTACTGTAAGACCATAAACACATGAATGGTCGTAGGTTTTTCTCCCAGACCAGTATTTTCTCTGTGAAAGTGGCCAGCAGTTAACAGGATAGATCAGACTGATACACCCCTCAAGTAATCAAGAGTTTATAGTATTTCTGAACCAGCACTTTGCATCTGGCTCATGTTTAATAGTGATGAATTTTCTCTGAATGAATCGACTGACCTGCTTTTTTCTTGTAAAGTATATGTGCTTTTGGTTTCTGAGTCGGATTGTGGCACTCGCTGCTAAAGGTGACGTGACTGTCGACAGTAAGTAAACATACTTCCTTTTGTTTGTTTTATTTTACACCTCCTTTCTAATGTCACTGGCCCTCCAGGGAGGAGGGATGCAGTGGGGTGTTAGGCGCGTGTTACACTGAAGTGATTTCTCTGTTCACTTCTCTGTAACTGCTTGTCTTAGGCTACTAGACTATAGTATATCATGTTGTCATACTCACAATCAAATTTTATCTCAAAAAGAGTTGTTAACAGTGGCACACACAAACTACTGCAGGACTGGTTTAGAATCTCATTTCTCCAGGAGTTAGAAACCTTTTTTGCCTAACTTTTAGCCCACGCCTGCACAGCTGTGGCCACTTTGTATCCATTTGAGTCTGTACCACTCTTCTAAAGCTCATCCCCGCTCCCCCACCTTCCGCACCCTGTCAGATCAGTACTACTACACAGGGCCGTGTTTGTCAGCCTAACAGAACAAAGCTGCTCTATCTCCCAAAACCGTCTCCTAGAAGTTCTTTTAAGCACTTGTTAATAATTTGAATTTTAGCAAAGCATTAATCAAGGCTTACATCGGTAAATAAGTAAACCTGTCTTCGTTTCCTTCTCTAGTGCAAAACCGGTACTGAAGTTTCAGATTGCTGTGACATTCATTGTCTTCTCCACATCCTTCTTTTAAGAACTCCACCTAAATAAAACCAAAGCACTTTTACTGTATGCCAGATGATAGTAGCTTAAAACAAGATTTCTGCTGTGCACAGCATAAAGCATCTAACAGGGAACTCACAGACACTTTCCTGGACAGAGTAGGATTTTAACCTGACTCTTACTTCTTGCCTGTCAAGAGTTTTTCTTCGTGAGACATAGCCCTTGATGCTGATAATTTAAAACTTTAAATGTGACCAAAAGGCAGAGTTAGATAATTCTAAGTGAGAGGTACACTTCTAATGAGGAAAAACGTCCTTAAGGGTGATTCTTCAATGAGCATTGAGGAAACGAGATCTTTTACCGGAGATATTCCCTCTCTTTTACGTCACTGCTGCAGAGCTCTAATGCTGTTAGAGCATCCTAACCACGGAAGAATTAAACTGTACAGTATTCTGTGATGTGGGACAAGTGTTCACAGCAGGAGACAAAGGATTTCCATTTTTAATCAAAAGTGCATTTCCTCCTAAACTCGTCGGGGAGAGAAAAAAAACCTAGCAGCTATACCAGCTTCACTTTTGTTGCAAAAGAAACACAGGATCTAGGTCATAACATGTTGTAACAAGTTCATAACAAAATATAAAATATAAGCCAGTAGTTACAAGTCCAGTGCCACCCCAGTTATTTCCTTTGGCCATAATTTAGCTTTCTACAGTCTTTAAAATTCAGTGATTTATCGAAGTGCAGATTTATGGGAAAATGTGATATCAAAGGCTTACTTTTGTGGTCTTTGTTTCAGATTCATTTGAATTTAGAATTGGTATAAGATCCGGAAGTGCTCTCTCTTTTCTTGTGGATGGTGAGCTAGACTCCAGGCCAGCAATTTTAACACTGACTGATATTGGAATGGGGCGCAGCTTATCTTTAATTTTTTCCTGTTAAAATATTTTAAATGGCATAGTTAGTGTACAGTGTAGAGAAGAAAAAACAACACAAAGACTAGCTTTTGATATACATTTCAGAACAAGCAGTAAACCAAAATCTTTTCTGCTACGTTTCGCAGTATTAAAACTATTCACTATGTAGAAACCCAGCATTTTCTAAAAAAGTGCAAGAACACAAGGAGCCTAGCCCTACTGTCTTTTTTTTTTTTCCTCTGGCCTCCCAATCTGATGATTTCTCTCACCGTTAAGAATTCCTAGGAACAACAGATGGTAACCCAGGCAACTGAAATTCACACTACAACAGTAAAATAACACTTCCTCCCCCTTGCCTAAGTTCAAGCTCTTTAATTTGCTGTGGTCAAAAGCAACCTTGGAGGCTGGCTCATTACTGCTGAGCCACAGATAGAGAATTTGTTCAGCTTCTGGAGCAATGCCTCCTTTAAGGGCCAGTGTAGCAGCCAAGTCAGAGAGCACATACCAAGCTTTCTTGCCCTGCCCATTCATCCCCTCCGAAACCCGTGGGTTAAAATTCTCTTCCTAGCCAGTCACAGCGTTAAACTCTGTAACAATGACTACTCTTGGAAACAGCTCTCTATTTTTGGCAGTTACTCCCTCTCTGTTCTTCTAAATCAGTTCTATTCACCTCCAGAGCATACTGCAGTGGCTACAACTTTTATTCATACTTTGTAAGAAAGGCAACAGGAGGAAGCAGCATGTGTGCAGGGAATAGTAAGGTACTACTTAACTATGGTTGTTTTCTAGTTTTGAGGCTTTATGTTGCATGTGACTTAAGTTATAAATCAAAGGTACCGTGAGGTTGGAAAAAAGCGCATGCTTTTGTTTGAAATGGATCTAAATGAAATAAAAATGAAATACTCTGCCTTACCTGCAGTACAAGCTTGGTTGTCACACACTCTTCTGAGTTCTGCCCCCTTAGGGTTGTACTTGCAGTAAACTGATCAGACAGGTGGTCTTTAAACCGTACCCTAGACGGCAGGCCTAACTGCCTCCTCTCGTTTTCTGCTTCAAATGTATAGTTGATCTCTGTATGAAGAAATAAAGTAGGTCACTATGAAAAAGAACCCTTGCCTTATTAAAAGAACTTTCATTTCTCTACATACAATCTTACAACGTTATTCTAGAAGACTGTTTCAGCCAGTGCTGGGCTTCACAAACTGTTTTCAGTTATTTACAAAACTTTCTCCGTCTGTCAGTTTTGTCCCTCTCCAGTTGAGGGCCAGGTACCCTGTGCACGTATCTAAAGGAAACGTCTAAACCAAATCCTTTTGTTCCAGAAGTACCCCGTTACTTTACCAGCATGCAGAGCTGGCTGGAGGAGCTGCAATTGCTGCTGTGAGCCAGTAGAGGGCTGAGATACAAAACTTTGTAAATACTCTTGACTCTGCTGTCCTTGATTCCTGTTTTGTCCCAGATAGCACCTAAGCAGCCAACAGGATTTTGAAGTCAAGGTACACTGTTAATTTTAACACTGAAAGCAAAAGCGTGACTAGAGCTTTCTAGTTGTATGCTGAGGCACGTTTTGATAGATGTGAACTCCACGCATCTTTTAATCATCTCAGCTAATTCAACGTTGCAAGGCTGGGAACGGCACCCAGCGCGCCAAGCCTCGGGAGCATGCAGATGGACACACGTGAGCTGCCTCCGAGAGCTGGAAGCACTTGACCTATTGAAGGACCAGCACCTTATTCAAGCACATCCTATGTATTTTGCAAGTAACTGAGAAACTCAAGACAACACAGGAGGAGAAGGAGGTTTGGGCTTAAAATTCTTCTCATTTCCTCTCAAAATCCTGCAGAGTTTTCTGAGGTGTAGTAACAGCAGCATTGTAACGAGGAAGAAGAGGGAGACAGGCGACATGAGAAACTAATGCTTTACATTTTTAACTGTATTTATGGCACAGTCTTCCAAGCTCCTATTAATACAAAGGTTTTTCATTTCAGTTACTGATTTCCACAAAACCATTTTCGTGAATACAGAACACTGTTTTATAGGGTACGTCTCCAATAAGAAATAACGCTTACTAATGATATATAAAATGGGCTTTCAAAACTATTTTCTAAAGCAGCAGTAACCTAGAGAGGCAAAACGTTTTTGGTCTGTATGGTAGCCATTTGCTCACTGGCAGTTATATTACCTAGAAAGCTTCAGTTCAGTCTGTCATCCACAGAACTTCCTAACACACCAGCACGACTCTAATTACATGTTACTCTGAATACAGATAGTGCAATAGCTGATTGACCTTAGTATTGAGTCACACTTTAAATTTGACAGTCACAGTCTGAGATGAGTCACTATAATTTGAGTACTATTCTTCCATGACAGGCTCTAAAGAAAAAACAAAAACGAAAAACAAACCGCGTGATGAACAGATCAAAAATCTTTATCTTCAAAACTTACTTATTCTTGGATTTAAATCACTGGGGTTTGCAGTATATTGAAAACATGCTTTCACATCCATCCTGTAACAAGTGCCAAGAAATTAATATTAACTTTAATAAGGCATGGTCCAACAGACTGAAAAGTTTTAATAGTCCGTTGACTGATATTATCAGTCTTACGACTCTGGTTTTCATGCTAGAACAGTAGTTTGCTGCTTACGAAACTGAATTACAAAGCAAGAAAACATGGTTAATAAGCAATTAGAAAAAATATTTTCTGGTATTTGCTCTTACATCTCTACTCATGAGAAAGCTGTTCAAGTTAAGACACTTCTAAGTGTGGCAAAGTGACATTCATTTTCAAAAATGGACGTCACGAACAGAACATATTCCGCACCTTGCCTTTAGCACAGTAGTCATAGCAAATTCAGGAAGTCAAAATGATCACATTTGCTTAACCTGCATGACTGTCATATCCCTTCACTTTAACATCATCACTGACTGAACGGATTTTGACAACAGAAAACTCAATACACCAAGGCTTCCGATACAATATTTTTTTTTTAAATTTACCATATTTCACTAGGGTCCTCAGGGTTCTTTTTCTTTAGATCAATTCTGTCAGGCTGTACTGTAATGCTTCTTCTAATGCTTATCACAGGCCGAGATCTTCATTTGGGGGAAAAATGGGGAATGAAAAGAAGGGGTAAAAAAAGAAGGAAAAGTTTGTTAAGCTTAATTAAATAATTCATGTGAATCCCAGATGCCCTCCATGCCTGCACTGATTTGCAACAAAGACACCCCAAAAAACACAGAGTTCGGCTTTGACAATGGTTAGAAACAAAATAAAACTACTTAAATCTAAGCAAAGCAAGTCACAGAAAACAACTACAGTTGTATTAAATGCCTGACAGAGGAGCAGGGTACATTAGTGTGATGTTGTGGTTTTCGTTTTACATACATATAAAAAACAGAAAATTGAAAGTGATGGTTCCCACCCCAGCGGTAATTCAGTGAACAACTGTAGGTACTAAAGTTCATTCAGATTAATGTTCACAGCAGCTTTAATGCGGAGCCTGGGTGGCTGTGGGAAGCGATGTTTTCATTTCCTGACTCCCCTGCCTGTAGGCTGTAACCATAATTCAGCCTGACAACTCGTCCTTTCTCTTCCTTTTTGGAAGGGACAAGAAAAGGCAGTTCACATGAACAAATGAATGAGCTGATCCCGCTCTCCTCGGAGCATCTAAGGGTTGTTTAAAATGGCCAGAAAGCTACCTCCTCCTTTTCTAGCAAATTTCTTTTAACTGGGCCACCCCTTTCACTGTTCATCACCATAAAGGTTTTCATTCTCACCTTTGTAAAAGTTTTTGTATCGCCCTTATCAGCAAACGATTAAAGCTGCTTTTGAGTAAGCAGAACACTTAATAATCTAACCAACTTCCACTCCACCTACTCTGTTCTCTTCCACAAGCAACACGAGTTGCTTTTGTTGGGTGCTGTTTTAGTGTATTTAAGAACATTCCAGTTACGTACACAGATACTATACACCTTAGAGATGGGACCATCAAAAAATTGTAGGAAAGGTCATTCTGCCTGAAAGGTAGAGTTGTTTTCACCCCCAAAATTGAGATAACCAGTTTTGGAGTTTCTGTTCCTCCTCCTTTGGGACCTGACAGCAACCACCAGCCCTGAACTTGATGCAGCATTCACAGCTGCGATGAGGAGACCGTCCTCTTCCTGCTCATTACTAGTGATTCAACTTAACGGGACATTAAACTGGAAAAAAGCAGAGGTCTGCAAAAGACAGTGACCTCATCCCTAATTAAGGCATGCGCTACAGAAATCCAAAAGGATCCTATCTGCAGGGCTTCCTCACAGCTGTTTCATGGACCCCACTGCAACCTCAGCAAGGCTGTATGCCTCACTGCTTTTGGATCCTCAGCTACAAAAGCGGGGTTTGGTTTGGTTTTGCCCTATCTTCAATAAAGCACAATTAGATTCACGTAACAGCAGCAAACAAAAGCTCTAGCAAATGTATCGGTTAACGCCTCCTTTCTTAAGGCAAAAGAATTACTTATCACCCTTAATTCCATCAAAGGACACGGGCATCCAGGTAAGTTACCGCAGGGCAAAGCTAGGGTACAGATACACCTCACACATCAGCACTCCACAGTGACTGTCCACATTCACCCCCTTACCCTGTGTATCGACAGGAAGGCAGCTTCTCAACGAGAAGAGGGGGATAGAGCAACAAACCACTTTATGGATTCCCCTCCCCCCCGAATTTCCAACTTCTAGAAGGAAAAATACACTCCAGGCCAAACAGCTTTTGTTACTTCTAAGCAGTTTGTTTTTAAAAAAACTAAAACCAAAACCTTGGTGTATGTAGTTACAGTTCTGTATGCAATACCTGAACACAGATACAGAATCTGAAAGGGAACCGACAGCAACATCAGGGTAGGAATTTTTATCCAGGTCCATGTTCCCAGCAATAGAGTAACCAAAGAAACTGGTGCCTGTTTTTTCACCATCAAGAATCTAAAGAGCAAACAGATTGAGGGAATTCAGACATTTAAAAGCTGTAAAAGTAACAAGTGAACATCATTGTCTTATGGCCAGGAAAAAGAAAAGAGAAGAGAGAGAAGGAAATAGGACCACCGTGTTCAGGTAAATGACACTGAAGCGCCAAGATGATTTGCTTTTCTTCCAAGAAAAGTTACTTTGCAATAGCAGTGAGTACCAGAAATGACTGTTTTGCATGGAAATGTTGCCTAGTTTATTTTTATTTATAGTATTTATGCAGTATAGGCACTTGAAACTGAAAAAGTATTCTAGAAAAGTATTCCAACAGTATTCTAGGAAGTGTAATCGAGTTCCATTCTCACCTTGCAGACTGAACACAGTGGTCCTCCAGAAAAAAAGAAAAAGGCATAAACATTTTTTTATCAAAAAAGAACATGAAGTAGTAGTAGTGAAAGAGAAAATGAAGAAACGAGTTATTTTCAAATCCCCAAATTCCTTTCAAAAAACCAAAGCTTGCACATCTACACACCTTTCTCCTTCTCTACATATTACTGGTGCCAAAGGACTGCCCCAGAAAGAAAAATGTGTATTAAAATCAAGAATTCTAACCTTTCTGGTCGGCAGTGCAATCTTTGAAGGGTCCTGTGACTTTCTGCATACCCACCACCCCACTAACAATAGTGGAAAGGGAGAAGATGGATAGCCCTGCCATTCCTCTAATTTCGTGCAAGACTAATTATATATAGCAAAGGTTATTTCATTACCTGTGCTGGCTTTGTATTTATTCCATTCGTGGATCCGTGATAAATGTACACTTTGCCAAAGCCATCATATGGAGCCCCTACTGCAATATCTGTTGGAAATAAGTTGCAACATCTAAAATCATTCTTACTCTTTCTGCAGCTGGCAATCATGATAAGGGTAAGATGTTCCAACTCTGGCACTGCCAAAAAAGTCACATCCATTTTTACTGTAATCATTTTTCACTCACCTGGGTATCCATCCTGATTAATGTCCCCAACGTTTTCAACTGCAAGACCAAACATGGAGTCAGTGGTTCCATTTAAGCGAATAGGTTTTACTCCTTCCCATTTGCCTTGCCAGTTAATGTAGATGTACACAGCACCACCGATATCTCCACTTCTGTCAAAATATTGCGGGGCTCCAACAACAATGTCTTGCCATCTTAGAATTAAAGAAAAAAAAAAAAAAACACAGTGCTTTTACAGAAGAACTGTGAAAAATAACTGATCAGACTGTGGTCTCAAGGTCAGCTAGCCAAAGAGCTGCTCAACGACGGCTAAAAAGTACATTAAACTGATGGAGCAACAACAGCTCCACTGATACTACAAGCTGATTATGTTCCCTTTGTGGCATACAAGGATCTTCCAGGGCCTGCTTTGGGTATAGAGTCACAGAATCGTTTAGGTTGGAAAGGACCTTTAAGATCATCGAGCCCAGCTGTTAACCTAGCACTGCCAAGTCCACCACTAAACCCTGTCCCTGAGCACCACCTCCACACGTCTTTTAAATACCCCCAGGGATGGTGACTCCACCACTTCCCTATGAGATTTGTTTCTTCTTTGTTTATGCTAATTATTTAAATTTAAATAAACTCTCTTCTAGAATTAGAAATGTAGACGGTGTCCTGACTGGTTCTCCGAGATGGTCGCCATTTCCTCCAGCGAAACATGAAAGATGGGGTTTGGCAACTCCTTGTACTTCTGACGTGAAAAACCAAAGCAGAAACAAACCAGATTGCCATCCTTCATTATACAGGCAGGAGGAGTTAACCAAGGCCATACCCGTCATTGTTGAGATCCACAACAGCAACATCGTAGCCAAAAGAGGAGGCCAGCCCTTCTCCTTCAAACATGTGCTCGAGGGAAAGCGCTCTCTGATTTTTCTCTTTTTTCAGTAAAACAACTGCTCCGCTGTGGTTGGCTCTTGGGGCACCAGACACAAAAGTCATCTCATCTTGGGAGACAATTCCTTTACCAGAGTCCAAAGAGAAACCTTTAACAGAGAAAAGAACGAAATATAAACAAACAAACAAACGGCTCGTATCATTAATAGGAAAAATAAATTCCCCTACTATATTAAAGTGGTATATTGAATAGAAGTTTTGTCTAAACCGGAGTATGATATATAGGGAATTCTCCCTTTCTATTTGGACCGGCGAATGCACGTTTACAAGTGTACACTCCTCCATACATTACATTTAAGTATTTCCCCCACAAAACGTATTATTTCATTGCTCGCTCAGATCTGCTTTTCACAGACACCAAATAAATCATTTTTAAACATACCAGCTTAGAAATGACTACACCCTACACCACTTGAATATAGCTCGAGTATTTCACCTCTGGCAAAACCACTGTAAAACTTCCTAAGGGCAAGTCGGTATCATTCCATTGCAAACATGCAAAATGTACTGCACGAGCACAGTACTGGCGATGAATGATGCGTACGGTATTTGAGAATCACCTTACACAGTAATGGTGAAACTGGCAATTTTTATTTAATGCAACCCTAAAGGACGTGGTCAAACCAATTTAGTCTTATGTGTTCTTTATAAAAGTCAATGCATTTTAAAAAACATGAAAAACTGAGTGAAAAGAATATACCGCATATACCAACGTAGCCAATAAAGGCCAAAGTAGAAAATTACGCATGTTGCAAGGAAGAAAGATACTAGCCAGCAGAGAGACATCTCCCTTCCGAAAGACTTCACCACCACTATGACAATTCTCAATTACAGCAATTCGCAATGAGACAGTTTCAGAAAAATTCAGGGAGTCCCATCTGGGGGAGGGATGAGAGGGTTTGGCGAAATGCATGACAAATCAGTGTTTCTCTGAAGCTGTGTTACGCTGCAAGCTGCTCTTCATCTGAATCCCTGTTTTTACGTGCTTTTTACTTGCGATGTATTTGAGATGGGGGGGGATGGAGGGGAGAGGGTCATGTCAAAGGTCTGGAGATTATGTCTGACCAGATGCTGCCACCTCGGGTGGTCACAAACCTAAGTAGCTATTCATCATTACATCCACCGATTTGTCCACCTGTATGCCGGGAGGCAATGTTTTGTATACAAACTGATCTGGATGAGTATCAGATACAGCTGTCAAAAATAGAAGACCTGTAAACACGAGTGAAAGATTGAAGAGAAAAAAGATAGTAGTTAAGCAAAGCAGCTATAACCATGTTTATTTACTGTCTAAACAGAGGGAACAGCAATGCCAGTGAACAGCAGGCTTGCTTGGAAGTGGTTGTGATTGCGACAAATCAAAGGCAGCATTTACGTTTAGGAGATAAATGCATTTGTTAGGAAACTGCAAAAAGTCAGTATTGCTCTGTTCACAGCAAAAGACACCTCCACAGCACTCCTCACCTTACCAATTCTTATTTCACCAGAAGAGGCTATCGGCTTGTCTTTCTAACGTAAGCTCTTAGGATATATATATTTTCTATTTTTATTTTTTTTTTTACACCTAGTAATAACTGCTGATTTTAAACGGAAGTTTATGTTCTATTTCTTCTAACAGATACGTAGCTCTAAGTTGGCTCTTTTCTTGGCTTTTACTTTTTGTATTAGCAACGCCCTTCTCATCTGTTCAGCTTTCCACCACTCACACAGAAATTCCAGTTTCAAGTTACCGAAATTGTATTTGCTGCATATGCCAAAAGCAGTGGATCAATACACCACAGAAATCTGCACTAGAACAGAGAGGTTCTTTACACTTTACACTTGAGGCCCTCCCAAAAATGCAGCGTAGCCTTTTCTCTGCACCAACGTATCTCACTGACGTACAGTAACATCCACTGGCCTAAGCACATATTTCTGCTTTCGTGCGTGCACAAAGGGCAAGAGACTCACCTCCTGCAACATACACACACACACTCTTAAAATACAAACACTACTACTCATATTATGGTATTTTAAAGGCCTGTAAAAAGGCCACTGGAGTTTTAAAAACTTGAAGAATAAAAAAATTGCACTTGACCTACCAGGATAGAGAAACTGCAGCCTTTACAGTTACATCCAGAAACTCACATCGTGGTAAACCTGATACTACATGGCAGAGACCTTGTGACTAACGACTACGGATCCATACCCTGTACTTAACCTGGAGCAATTACAATCGCTCCCTGAGAATCCGTAGGTCCTCATCACAGCTCTTAAACCTCTCATTACATTCGCAGCTCCTCTAGGTACCTCAGCAGAGTATCATCTTACACTTAAAACTGGCCCATAAACATGGAGGGAGATGTGAATTATCCAAAATGGTTAACACGTTACAGGGTCCACAAATGAAGGATTTTCTGCTCCCATCTCGTATCATTGTACCAGGCTGGGATCACAAATGTTTAAGAAGCCTAAAGAGATTTACCATATGTACTTAATCCTACCTAAGTAACTGTTAGCTGGAACAGGAACTAGATTCTTATCTTGGCGGCTCTCATCACCAACTTCGTAAGGCCCATCATCAAAGATACCCAGATCATAAAATGTCTGATTCTTTTGCTCTGCGCGAACCACCCCTGAAGAAATGAAATGATAAAATAAAAGCAAATGAATGGTAAGGGAGAAAAATAACAGATAAATGGTTCCCAACTAACATTAATTACGACGAACGAGAGTGTGACTGCTTGTTTAAATGGGACAAACACGGAATACTGCACTGGGTGAAAGCATTTGCAAAAGGCAATGAATTTCTAAGTTCTATCCGTATGCCAGAATCTCACGCTGCTCTACAGCAATGATCTGGAAAACATGGGATACTAAGAAAATTCTCAACAAAAACATGGGACCAACTCGGTCAGGAACCACCCTCATCCCACAGTTCTTAACCTCACAAAGCCTCTCTTAAAAGGGAGGTAAGTACACAGGAATACAAAAAAAAAAAAAAAAAATTACTGTTCAGCTATGACAAACACCGGTGATATATTTAGAAAACATTATTTAAGGGGAAAAGAGCTATTGTTCAATAAAATGTGTGCTTCCCTTTTATCAACAGGCATATTTAACATTTTGGCAAGCACAAACATGTTTTTCCATGATACAAAAGAGTACTCTTATGGCTGATATACTGTCATAGCACTTCTCTGCAATTAAAGTAAAACAGTGTCTGAACTCAATATGCTGTTTCAGCTTGGTCAGATTTTGTTGACAGATACGTGGAAGATTAAGTTTTCACTAAAGTACACCTTGTGCCAGAGCTTAACGCAAAGATTCTGCATGGTTCATATAGCAGGCACAGGTGTACGAGGGGAAAAAATGTAATGGTTTGAGGATCAGATGTTCTAAAGAGGGAACTATTTACAGCTGTTGGTGTAATGAAGTGCGACGGGAAAAATCACTTTAAGAAAAAGAGACAGAGCAGGCCATTTAGATGCTTCTCAACAGGAACTAACGGAGAAAATCTATGTTTTTTTTCCCGTAAGTTTTGGAATATCTCCTAGATGATATAGAGTACTTGGCTCTTAGTCAGACAGATTATCCATGGAATTTTACATGGGTATCCATGGATTTAGATACGAATACATGTAGTATTGCTTTGTTCAGTTATCTTCCTGCAATCCTCCAGTATCTAATTTGGGAAGTACTACTTTCCACAGACTTCACAAAGAATAGAGTGGAGAATACTGCAGGATATAAACAAAGATCTCACTGCAGCTATCTAACATTTGCTCAAATGCAGGAAAAAAGTTGGTCAAATAACCTTAAAATAATTTGGTAGTTTGTTCCAGTATGGAAGTCTCAAAGCAAGCACTCAATCCCACCGTAAGATTAAGACTAATAAGGGAAAAATTTGCTGTACATATGTGCAAAGTTCCATTATCCATTCACAAGTAGTCCCTCAAAGATATTTAAAGGAACTTCAGTAAATACTTTTGATACAGGAGCATAGCATTTTGTGAAAACAGGGTAATATCATTCGATCCCTATTATCCCCTCCCCCCTTGGAAAAAAAAAAATTAGAACTTGGGATGCAACCCTTGTGAGCAATCTCAGAGGCAATGGGAAGGGTAGGCAGGAAGGAAGCCAGGTCATACCTTTCCAATTGTAAGTGCCTGGGGCACCAAACACAATGTAATGATAGTCTCTAGTAAAAGTAGCAGCAACACCTTGCTGACAGGAGCCAAACTTCTCATGGCCTCTTAAACGACCATCACAAAAACTCCATACTCCATTATCCATATCATCCTTAATAGTGAGATCCTGGCTCAGCACATAGCACCTTCCAATGATATCCCGGGTTTCCTGCACTGTGTTTACATACTGCCTTTTCTCATAGCGATGTGCACACGTCTGCAAGATAAAAGAAATAGTAAGTGATGCTTTCTGTATGTTTGTATGCAAGTCATGAAAGAAGGCTGGTCTCCTTTAGCAATACTTCATGCTAGCGACGCTGTAAGTCAGTCACCTTGTAGACACACCCGTGTTGCAATGCAGAGAGAGTCCACTGTTCCCTATGGGCAACATATGGGAAAGGCTGGGCATCTATGGATACAAGTCAGAGCAACCAGCTTCATGGTCAAGGAAGGCCATGTGGTTAAATCCCTCTTCTCCAGGATTTAGGGTTTTTAGCCCTAAAGCCTTCCCTGATACCTAATCCTCACAAGAAGTGAGCAGAGAACCACCCTCTCTCTCATAAAGAAAGAACTGGCTGTGTTTCCCCACAGCTGTCAGAGTTAGGCGATTCACATGCTTGTGCAGGACATGAGAAGCTGGTTCAGCTACCATCTACCTGATGGTAGAACTCACCCCTTCCAGAAAAGTGCCACAAAGCAGAGGCTGAAAGCTTTTCCAGTGACGGGAAGGGGAGGGAAGTTGTTCCTACTTCCTACATTGGACTGTCACTGGGACAGAGCAGCAGCACTGAGCACAACCTGTTCCTTAACCCTTTAGACTGTTCACCTGGGAACAGAATTCTAATCAAATATTTAACACAAAGGGTGAATAGCCACTGGGTTAAGTGGTATAACCACCAAACCACTGTAAAAAGAGGTGGAACAATCAAACCCCTTTACCAGCAGTGGTTTTTGCAGAACCAGATGTAGTACGTGTGTAGAGAGCACAAGCAAGCCAGGTTTCTCAGCTGACATACCTTTTCTATGGTTCCTATCAAGGCTTAAACATTAAGCAAACACCCAGCTGCTCCACACTTAGAGCACTGCTGTACTGCCCTGCTGCACAGTGACCTTCGGGCTGCTCATGCCTCATCTAATAAGTGCATTTCCCACTTATCACTTGCAAAGAAAAGTTCCTTCTCAGAAAAGACAATACAGCATTAGTTGATGATTAATTATTCAATGAGCAGGACTCTTTCCGTCTGCTCTTCCCCCCTTTGAGTTCTGAGGCGGACTGAAGCAAGTCATTACTGCCTCTATATCCTTAAATAACTCCAGATTCACACCCTAAAGTCACCTGCCTCCAGTTTTGGAAGCAGTGACATTAGCCTGCAAGAATATAATTAGATGGTGAAGCTTCTGCACACCCATTTTATGATGTAGCTGGTATCCTGCAGCACCACGAGAGGTTTATTTAACTTGAGAGCTAAAAAAGTAACATTCTCTGATAACTCCTGAAAGCTTTTTCTCTCTGTATTGTATAAAATAAAGAATAGCTAGTAGTCTTACTGCAGTGCAACGGCCACATCAATTCATAGGAGCAACTCAGCCAAAGTCCCTGATGAAAGTTAAAGTGAGGCTGATCATCTTGGAAAACAGGCTGACGACAGCCTGCTACTTTTACAACCTTATCACACTATTTTTCCCTATTTCTGTAGCCAGTGGTATTTAAAAGAAACAGCGTGTATATCACAAAAAAAAAAAAGGGGACACCCTGAAAATGAACTGTCCATCCTAGATTGTTACGAAGGTTATAAAGAAAGGCTAAAAATAGTTAGAAAAATAATTTAAAGCTTTTACAATCTCAAGTGTCTTACGTTGCTAGGGAGACATTTAAGTCTGGCCTTACAAGAAATCGCAGCAGTAAACATAGGAAAGTTACCTTTCAGAAATATGCATAGAAACGCAGACCATTCAGAACATTTACCATAGACCCAAAATGTTTTTATAAGTTAATCCTTTAGACTTACCACCACATTTCCTCCTGGCCCCTGACTTTGGACAGTTACGCCCATCCATTGGTCTTCTTTACTCTCCATCTTTGGGTCAGCTGCAGAGTATCATAATACAGCTTCAAATATTAACAGTTAACTACTTTTTTTTCTTTTTCTTAAAGTCCCTGTCAGGACAGGCACTTCATACAGTACATGAGACAGTCTGCAGGTGGCAGTGTCTGTACATTTTATCACTGACAACATCCATTTTATTAAACACTTCTAGCGTATTACTTCATGTCACATGAATTTACGCAAGAGTAAGAACATCCACATTACCAAGATTTAAGCATCCCATGCTATCTTAGCAATTAAGCTACAACTTATTCCGATGCAAAAAAAGTTATGTATAAATCCATACAAGCAACTGTCTGATACACTGCCTCTGGAAGGGACCACATCGAGTAAGAAAAAATCAGACAACTGTTTCAATCCAAAACAAAAGCGCTGAAGAACTTACTCTCCTCATCGAATACGACACGTGTGCAGCGTGTATTTGGAGATGCGATGTCACAGCTGTACAACCCTCCTGTTCTGTTGGCTTGTTGGGATGGAAAGGCCTTTTCCCGAGGAGCTCCAACCGCAGGGGAAGAGAAATAATTTCAAGGCATCTGTAGAGAAAATATTAGAAAAGAGGAAGGCAACAGAATCAGGAAGTGTTTTCACCACGTTGCCTGAGGTTTGACATGCAAACATTTGAAGCTGGATGAAAAGCTACATCATGGCACTGTTCCTTAAAAAAAAAAAGGGGGGGAGGGGCTGTAAGGCAGCAGTAGTTCTGCAATTATTGGACCTGCAAACCAGTAAATGTATTGTTATTAGTGCTACAATTGTTGCAATGTTCACCGAGCAGATGATAAAAATAAAAAAAGAAGTAGGTGTCTGGCAGTTTTGCAAAAACCATCCTTCTATCAGGGAGTCATTGTTGGAATGGATGGGAAAAGTATTGTTACTAAAATGACCACAAACCCCCAAAACAGTGAATAACAAGTGCTTTCAGGCTGTCTTCTAGTTTTACACCAGTCCTGTGCCACTGTTCGGCTGAATTTACGGGCACCTTAATATCTCCGACCCATGAAGCAAAGCAAGATCCCTCCTGGCCCAAGCAAGTGTTCACTGAACTACTCCAGGCTCTGTGCAAACATGCGCTCCCCCTCTCCACTCCTTTGGCCAGATACTCCATCTTGAAGCTGAAAATGTTTTTCTCCAACAAATCTCTCATCAAGAACAGGCCATTCCCACAAAGGACTTCTTTCTCCTATAAAAAGGCCACTCTAATGAGCTCTCCTTAAACACCGTTCTGGGAACCAAATGTGAAGGTTCTTATTTTCAAAACTGAATAAAGCAAATTTTTTTCCTGAATCAACTGGCCCCCGTATTATCACAAAATCACCAGTAGACACATTTACTTGCAAAATAAGGGTTTGCAGCCAAAAAAATTCTTACATTGCCTGTGTTTCTTTGAAGTGTCACACACACACAAAGCACAGCTGCCTCTCAAGCGGCTAAACTGAAACTAATAACAACCAGTATGCAATAGTTTGTGGAAGAAACAAGAAACATCATGCTCAGCTGAAAAAACAAGGACGAGAGAACAGTGTGTGGATAGGTGCAACACAGCAGGTACGATGGATGGATGGATGCTGAACCAGACTCCACGTGTTTCCTGACCCTGGTACAAAACACTTGAGAGAAGAGATCCCTGACATTACAGTGTCAAGGAGGGCAAAGCTGAGACTATAGTTGGATCCACAAGGCTGAAAGAGAAACTCGGACCCTCTTTAAAGCTTCAGCTATAGTTTTGCTCGAGAGAAGAGCTTTTTTGCATGCTTTACAGTGGCAGTGGGACAAAGTACACTGCTGTCCCTCAGAATGCTTTTCTCACTAAAACAAGACTCACTTTTATTCATATCTAACAGTTAAGACTGGATCAGTTAAGATCAATACATAATTTTTGCTATTAAGAAAACGTTTATTCAATGTCACTAAAGTAATGAGACACAAGATGAAACGTATTATGAGAAAACACTTTTTTTTAAACACAAAATTACATCTGTATTGTGAAACAGCCAAGTTTTTCACCACTTTTACAGAAATAAATTCTCCCACAATCCATAATTTGCCCTCATGAAGGTAACCCCTGAATGGTGAAACCTTCAGGTAAAATATTTGCTTTTGACTGATACACATATAAAATCAGGACACACAGCGTGGGTGGGTTTTGGTTTAAAGTGTTTCCTTCTTTTCCCCCTACATATGTCTGGCATCTTTTTCAAAGATCTTTTTCAGAAACGTAGCAGTCATCACAAGAGTTTGTAATCTAAACAACCATGCTTTTAGAAAGGCCATTAATAACTGCATTTTCTAATTTTGGTAACAGTGCATTTAACTGTAATCTCTTAGAGTAATTCTTTTGCAAAGCATCTGTTTCTGAGCTATTCCTAACGTGGGAATAGATAAATTTTCTCCTCAGTTCTGTTATCCCCCAGGGAAAGACAGATGAGATTTTTTTTTTTTTTTTTTAACATTAACAACCATAAATTTAAGAAAGTAGAGGTACCGATTTCCTAACTTATAGAAATTTTTATTATTTCTACTTTTTCATTCAAAGATTTGGGGGGGGTTATGATGTATTGAATTTCACTTACAGAAATTTGATCAGAAACCTTTTGTTTCAACATTGTGAACACAACTAAAAGCTTCTGGAATTGAAATACTTAATTTGGTTTAATTCACCCATCTGCATACTACTGACAGCACAGTGGTCCTAGATCAAGAGAACTACAACCCTGTTCTTTTCTGTGGGATAACTAGACTACATCCTCTCCCTAGCTAAATGATACCTTTTACAACATACCATGATGTGACCATGATCTTGATGACAATTCAGCCAGAGGGAAGACCTACTGAGGCATCAGGTAATAAACCGCATAGCCAACAGAAGGTACAGTGGAAAGATGTGCCACCTGACGTAAGATGCCCCAAACATTCAGTGGCATCTCAAACAGACACCTGTTGAGATCAATAGATGAAAAATGCAATTGTTCAGCCTTCTTAAAAAAAAATTTTTTAAAGTGTCAATCTAACATGATCTCAAAGGAAACAGGCGACCTTAGATTTTTCCCAGTACCCATACCCCGTTCAAATCTTGCGTAAGTTATTTTCCCCTAATTTTGCATAAGTTATTCTGCACTGTAAACAAAGTATTTCAAAGCAGACTTATTTAAAACCCTCCAGAGTTCAAAGAACTTTTGTCAGGAATCCTGTCCCTAGTCTTCAAGGCTCATCAAACACAAAATATCTTGAATCCTGTTAGGTACATCACTGCAAGTCCTTATTCACAACACAGTTCAACAGTAGCACACACTATGAGCAGGCGCTTGCAAAGGATTAGATCAGTTCAGGTAGATACTATGGTAAATCCTGAAATGTACTTTCAAGTAGCAGCCAAAGACCCATTAAAAAGCGGCATAACTCCTTTGTACTTCTTCACTACTTATCTGCCCCAAAGACCACAGCAGAGAAGACTAAACCTATGCTTCCAGGTTCTGCAAGACAGGTCACTAAAGATGATGAGGATTATAAACGTTATGAGGGTTATCAACATTATTAGGAATGTAAGAAAGTCACGTGCATCTCTAATCTTTGGCTGGATAAATCAAGCAAAACATAAAAATCCCTTGTCAAGCACATTGTGACTTGTGATCAACAGAGCTGCTGTTCACCTTGCCTACTGCTCAAGAGGTACATTTGAAAAATCAGAATTCTATTATAGAAGCCAAATTACTTTGTTTAAAAATAAAAGTGTGCACGGAACTAAGGAAGTAGGACGTGCACCATGCACCAGTGTGAATTTCAGCATGGCTGCAGCAGTCCAAATGAATCGGCTGGTACACTGAGCTGTGCTACGTGCTCAACAGAGTCTTTCCAGACTGAGGACACATTCCAGTCATTACTGTATGGCTACTTACTCAGCTGTGTTTTAACAGAAAAATTTTAATCAAGTTTGAGCTCATTATGCCAAAAATGGGTTAGGTTTTTCTGCAGCTATGCATGTTCCATTTTAGCTTTCTCAGTGGCAAGCAAAACCTCTTTCTGCAAAAGGAAAGAGGTAAGGGGGGGCGAGGAGGTGCTCTCCTAACTATCGCTATCTCCTTATATTGGCAGATGAAACACAAAGAACTTCCTCTGCAACAAAGACTGACAAAAATAAGTTCTTCATTTCTCTCCACCCCTGATCACAGTATGATTCATTTTACTCATTGGGACTTCTCCCTGAAGGTGTAGAGGGCTACAGTCACTACTTTCAATTCAGGCCTGAACCCTCTAAGTCAGGCTCCAGAATCCATATTTAGATACCAAAATAAAGCCCCAATGTCAAGACTGCAGAGTCAGAGATGAAAACCCCAGAGACTCCAACATGCAGACATTTTACTGATTTTCTATCCCATGGCAGATATGCAGAGAACAGAAGCTCAGCCACACAGTATACTGAACATAAACACGTCTGAGCATCAGTTCCTGTTGGAGCCTTAGCTTTTTATGATGACTTAGTATCTAAATGTTTACCATATGAGCTAAAAGTCAGACAAAAAAAATATTACTATTCCTCATGTAAATTGCAGAATCAGATGCTTCGTAATACTTGAATCCTGATTTTCCCCATTCATCTTGCCTTAATATATACTATAAACTGATTAGGTTTTCCCTAAGCCAATCAGACTGCACAGGTGTTAAATTATCTTCTATTAGTAGTTCACTACATTACATTTCTGTGGATTAAAAGAAGTGTCTATCAATTGACAATGTTGGGAAAAAATCAGAATTCTCTCATACCCTGGCACAAAGCTACAATGCTCTTTTAGCTCCAGTTATAGCCCATAATTAAAACATTCGCTTTCCGATTTCAAACTAAAATTCTAATTTCAAACCAAATAAATCAGTCCTGTTGCTCTATTCGTTAGAATTAATTATTGCTTTCTCTTAATTACTTCTTGGAGATACGCAATAATGACTGAAGTCCCACTGCCTATTATGAGCATCTGCTGGCTTCCAGGCACAGATTTACTCCCTTACAACCCTGGATTCATGGCCAAACTTGAGATAATCCTATAGGATTAGAGCCCCAGGATTGGCATGTAATGCCAGTTTAACTAATTAACCTCACTGAGATGCAGTTTTGGCTCAGGTGGATGGTGCCTGCGTTGCACAGATGCTGGTGACCCCGGCTGTACCTGCGTGTGCAAGGTGCAGCCGCAACATGCAACAGGGACGGCCACGAGCCCCCCCTCTCAAGAGAGGGACCAGCGTAGCACCACATCCCCCCGCATAACCCTAGGGCACAGCTACAGCCACCCTCCCTCACTGTGATATTACATTACACCTGAACAAAACAGCTGAGGCAAGAAAAACTCCATTTCATCAGTTATGCTGAGCGCTACTCAAGCCTCAGAAAAGGCATCAAGATATCTTACTGACTTGATCTGGATCTGGACCAGACCTTTGGATAACTCTGTGTAGAAAACATGCTTTATAAACCCACACGTTTCCAAGAAGTGAAAGGAGGTGGGAACTCA